AAAAAAAAAAAGATGACAATTATCAGTAATTACTATCCTTTCACCTTTTCTACAAATTAAACAATTACACTAATTAATTCAGTACATCCCTTAACCAAAAAATTACAGGGGTTGGGAAACTGTCTATTTTCTTTTTCTCTTTTAGCCAATATTAATCCTATTGCAAGACTTTAAATCAACAAGCTGCAGAAGGATTGCTGAAGGGATTATAGAAATGAGATTTGGGAGCCATTGAAAACGGGCTCTTGGTGTTGCCGTCGCCGGCGACCCCACCAATTCTTTCACAAGAGGGACACATGGTGAGCGTCGCCGCCGGCATGTGCATGTAAAAAGGTTGAGCCAGCTTCAGCGCCTTGAGTTCTTGTAGTTCCTTCTGCAGCCTCCTGTTTTCGCTCGTCAGTGTCTCACAGCACTTCTTCAAGAACTCACAGTCCACCTCTGTTTGCTTCAGCTTAGTCCTAAAAAAATACCCATAAATTTAAGATTCATAAAAAAATAAAAAAAATCTTCAGGGGTAGAGGTTTTTTTGGGTCTTTTAAAAACTGGATATTTACCTGGCTCTCCTGTTTTGAAACCATACTTCAACTTGCCTTGGCCTTAGATTCAATTGCCTTGCCAAAGCTTGTTTTTGCTTCTGTAATTTGCACACAAAAAAAAGGGATCCAAAATTAATAATAAAGAGTTAATTCAAAATAATTCCTCGTGAATTTGCTAATTCGAGATGAATCAATTGAGAGAGCCAAAGAGGAGAGCTTACGGGATTGAGAGTACTGTGTTGTTTGAAGCTTTCTTCTAACAAAGCAGACTGCTCTTTGGTGAGGCGAAGTTTCTTCCTGGCGTTAACACCATCTTCGTCTTCATCGCTCACCCTTGAAGAAAGTGAAACTTTCTCGACCTCTGCCTCCTCGCTGCTGAGGTCTCGCTCCCTTTTTACAATCCTCCCGCTGGAAAAAGAAGAAACAGCGCTGTGAGGGGAAGCCTGACGGTACAAATCCACAACCACCGTAGTCTCATGATCAGACACAATCTTTTTGCCAGCGACCTGATGATGATAATTACTGTCACCACCGGACAGACCTAACGTCAGCGACGGTTCGAAATTCCCAGCGGCCAAGGTGTGCTGTTCGAATTTCAGACAGGGTTTCTTAGACGTTGGCAGATGGTTGTTGGGGGTTGATGATAAACCCAACCCCAAAACCAGGCCTGTGTTACATACATCATCAAAACCCATGAGAAGGGAAAAACAGAGGAAAATAGAGGGAAGGGAGAGAAGTGAGGTTTGAGAGAAAAGGGTATGGGAAAGGGGGGGTCTTAAGGAGGGAGTTGGGTAGGTGGGTGGCTATGATTATTAATCAAAGGGATGAATTGAGTATCTGGGTATGGGAAATTATGAAGGCTCTATTCTTCTCTCCACCGAGGTTGACCATTTGAACCCCACTATTATTATCTCCATTATAATAACAAACAAATTAGGTAATTTCCTTTTTCCTTTTTCTTTTTGTATTCTTTCTTTTAAAGAATATTACTACAATTTCAGATGGTATTTCCTCTTTTTTTTTTTTTTTTAATATGTATTCTTAAAACATAAATTAAATTTTATTTATTATAATATTTATAATTAATTTATATATAAGATTTAAATAAACTAAAATATAACATATAAAAATATAATATAATATTTTACTTCAAAATCTATAAAAAAATTATAAATTAATATAAAATTTTATTTAAAATTAATTAAAAATATCCTAATTAATAAGTCCAACCTTTTTTTTTTAAGTCTACCATAGAATTAATTGGTAATTTAGTGGCAACCTTCTCTTTTCTTTTCATTTTTTATTTGGCAATGTAAATTGACTTGGCATTTTATAATTGGGGCGAACTTATTTTTTGGTTCTACTAATTATTATTATTATTATTTTTTATGACACAAGCTAATTGGTTCAAATTTCATGGGGAAAGGGGAGGAAAATGAGGGTTGAAATTCTAATAATATAAGTGAGAAAGTGTATTTTTATCAATAATTTAATTAATTATTGTTAGTATGTTATTACTTAAGTTTAAGGAGATTATTTCCTCTCTTCTTAGTCTACAAGATTAAAAGAAGAATGAAAATACGTATATGTGAAAGTTCTACAGAGATTTTTCTTAATAGAATTCCAAGTCAATGACCGAATGGACCACTACTAAATTCCAGCTGACTTTCAAAAATTAAATTTTAACTTATAATCAATTTTAAATTTTTTACTGCAAACAACCCAAGTGATTTGATATTAATATATATATTTTTTAAATAAACGATTTTGAGTGTAATTTGTTAGTATATAAGTAGAGTATATAGAAAGAAGAAAAAAAGTTGTCATTACGTAGCTTAATTTTTTTTAACAAAAAAATAAATCAAGTTCCTTAACTATATATACTTGGAATTGATAATATATAATCCGTCTTTCTCAATTTTTTAATCACTGCTTGACCATTGAAATATAATTTTCTAATATAACTAAGCGTTTACGTGCTTTCATGTAATCGTTTACATGATGGCCAAGAAAATATGTAATCGCTTACGTAAAATTCTGCTAAGAAACTAGCAGAACAAAATAGACCGTTTTCATACTTTTTTTTTTCTTTTTTTCTTTTTTCAAGTTTCTAGACTAATTTAAAGGAAAAAAGAAATTTCTAAAACAAAGTGATAAAATGACTAAACATCAAATTTAGCCTATATCAATCATCAGAAATACGAAAATCATAACGCTTCAGCTCTAAAAATGTTAAAGAGGTCTAATTCTAATTACACATGATAAATAAAATTCAGGTAAAATATATTTACATTATATCACATTCATTTTGTGACTGAAAATTAATGTTATAACATTTTTTTTCTCTGAGACAATCTAATTTTTCATATTTTAGTCAATTATTACTATCCAAACTTAATTTACATTTTTTAAATCTTTTTTCGATTATGGTATACGTAGTTCTTTTTTATAGTCATTTTTCCCCGAAAAGATGGCATGACAAATTTATAAAGAAAATGCAGCAGTACATGCCTTTATCGGTTGCAGTGATTCAAAGATTTCTAAAGAAGGATTTTCTTTAATTTTTTTTATTAATATATTAGTATCAGATAATTTTATTAGATTTTAATTAATTTAAAATCAAATGAAATTGAAGTTTATAAAAAAGAAAACTCTTTATATACTTATTTTTTTTATTTATAATAGTTAAATTTAATATTTTATTTTAAAAAAGTTAAATTATTTTCACTTTAATTAATAAGTTATTGATTAATAAAAAATTAATATCATTTTTTTAACATATTTTGCAAGGAACGGGTTTTGAACCCTACCCGGAAGAAAATGCACCGATAACTAATGCCACTAGATCTCAAGAGTCAAGTGCAAAAAATTAATATCATTAAAAATAAGATCAAAGGGGAAAATATATGATTGGATATTAACAAGTACCCTTTTCGACAGACCACATGAACTGTCTCCCACTCCATGCCTCGTTTTAATTGGCTAGAGAGGTGGGCATGATCATGTCCCTTTTACTTACCCATAATGCACTCTTTTGTTTTGGTTTTAAAATTAATGCGGGTGGTGGGCAGTTTTTCCTTTGCTTATCATGAATGAGGAGATTAGAAAGGGATGGGCACTAGCAGCCTAGAGTAGTTTGTATGATGATGGGCGGCCTATCTTTTGCTCCCCCTGATTGTTGTGATGGAAAAGAGAAGAAAAAGGAAAAGAAAAAGTAGGTTTGGTAAATATCATACCACAGGGATTGTGTCATAGGGAGTTATAATGGTGCAAGAATATGATTCATAAGAAAGAATCTGGATTTCTTTTTTATTTTTTTGGTCTAGCTAGGCAATTAGAATGTTTTTATAATTTGTACACATCTTAAATTTAATTTTTTTAAAGATAATTTTAATTATATATTCTTATATTAACATGATGTGTTAATTGATTAATTCAATAAAATTAAAATTTCTTAACTACTGACATCATGAAACTTAAATCCTAATCTTGGCACACAAGATGTCGTTTATGAACGAATCAAAACGGAGGTCGAAAAGAATCTGGATCTTTACTTAACTAGAAAGTTGATGAGGAGGGTTTGGGACCTACTTGCCGTCTTTACAGACATTGTACAAGCACTTTCAATAATGCTTTGTCGGCTGTGCCGATTAGAAAGTTAGGTCACCCATAAAAAAACAGATTATGATTATATTTACGGTTTAATTTGTTAAGATTTAAAATTTTTATTTTAATTTAATTATTAAAAATAATTAAAAATTAATAAAATAATTAATATTCAT